CAAAGCCCATAGAGTTTTGTTTGATCTTTGCTTATTGCCATTTTACTTTTGCAAAATAATATATTTTTTTCTTGCTGTTAAGTGCCATTGCATCTTAGATGACTCATAGTGACCCTTTGAACGAAAGACCTGAACACTTGTATAACTTTTCATTGTTTCTCCAAGTTCATAGAGTTTCTAGGGGCATGCTAATTTGAAAGTGGATGCTACTCCTGCTTCCAAGTTTGTTTTAATTGGGGAGCGACACCAAACACTGTTCACCATGGGTAACCATTATTGCATGTTACACAGTAGTGTCAGTGTTTAGCACCACAGCAACCATGAATTACCTTTGCACAGCAAATGGACAGACAAGTGCTATATTACTTAGAAGAATGTTTGACCACAGCAATTAAAACCAGGCCTGAGGGCACACATGCCTTTTTAAATAGAAGGTCAAATAAAATCAACTCACACCCAAGGGCAAGTAAATATTCTACCCCAAGCCTTCCCAAAACCAGAAAATAAACCTCTGTAGAATCCAGTTGCTCCAGATGACTTCCCAGCCTGGATTCCAGCCTCATACTGGTGACCAAATTTGCCTTTTTAAATAGAAGTCCAGATAAAATCAACTCACTGCCAATGACGAGTAAAAATAAGAATAGAAAATATAGATATTTAAAAAAATGCTAGCAGAATAGTCTAATGTTTTTATTTTTATGTCTTTATTTTTAGCTTAAAACCAAGGAGACATGAACAACATTAAATGTCATATAACTTACCATTCAATCTATCTAGGAATTTAACCATAATGTTATTGTTCAGATTGTTAAGTAAAGTAAAATAATGAGAATAATCTCACTTTTGAACTCTTCCATTGCCATATATGAAGTACATAAAACTATTGATGGTCAAGTTAAAAAGTGAGAAAATAAAAAGATACAAGCCATGGGATTAATTAACCTGACAGATAAAGATACATATATCTTCTTAAGGTTTTGTTCACACAGACTGACCCATTCTTGTTATGTGCTGTCAAGTGACACAAACATAAACAATAGATCAGGATTTTATTTCATTTAAAATAATATTTTACTGTATCTTCAGTTAAGATTTACACAGCAGTTTAGAATTTCATTCAATAATTTCTCACCAGGTGTTCTGTTACTTTGGTTACGTTTCTTCACAGTACACGAACATTTCTATTGTGATCATGCACTTTTCATTAATCTAGCTTCCCTGTTCCCTTATGTTCTCATAGTTGTTTTAAAATAATTTTGAGCAACAAATGAGGGAGAGAATTGTTTAAAGGGAATATATGAATGGGTATTCTTTTTTTTTTTTTTTTACAAAGCAACATTTTACTTTTGTTGTGATTAAAAAAAAAAAGTCACATTTTACAGATAAAATGTAGAACCCTGAAATACTGACACATTCTCTTATCGTGCACAATGCTGAGGTTCTCTTACGATTCACTTTAAAACTGCAATTAAAAATGTACAAAAAAGAAAAAGAAAATCAACCCACAAAGCTTCTAAAAAAGGAACCTGCAGGCACTTCCTCTTGTGGAATGTTTAAAAAGTTAGCCTACTAAAGAAAACAGTCGACTTCTTGTGAAGGTTTTGGAGAAATATGTATCAGTTCGTTTTATTTGGGTATTCAATAATATCCTTGGTGATAATGCTGACTCCATGGCTTCTGACCCCAGAATTGACCCTGCTGCCACTGGTTGTAGCCCTGAGATTGATTTTTGTAGCCACGATTGTTTCCTCGTCCTCTGAAGTTCTGGTTATAGTTCCCTCTGTTGGGCATGCCACCTCTATTATAGTTCCCTCTGTTTGAGTAACCTCCGCGGCTAGGGAAAACAGGGCCTCGTGGATACGGGTAGCCAATGCCACCACTGCCGCCACCACCACCACCTCTCTGTGGCATGTTGCCCCTCCTGTTAATGAATGGGTATTCTTGTCATTAACAGAAATCCAGAGTGAAAGGTGCATAAGTGGAGTGGACTTGTGGGGGGAGGGATTGCCTAACATGAAAGAGTTTTTCTTTCTTTTCAAGGAGAAGAGTGAGTTTGGGGGGCGGTGAGGAAAGTGTAACAATGAATGACTAGAAACTCTTAAGTCTCTATAAACTTTCATTAAAATTACTTTTAAAAACAAAATAAAATTATTGAGCATTTGGTCTGGTATTATTTGGTAATAGGCATATCAAAGCAAACCCACTGCTGTTGAGTCAATTCTGGCATATAGTGACTCTATAGGACATAGTAGAAATTGCAGTATTGAATTTCCAAAGTTGTAAATCTTCAAATCTTTATGGAAGCACACTGTCCATCTTTTCTCACTGAGTGGCTGGTGGCATCAAATCAACTAGGGCTTCTGCAGTGAGCTTAAGTGTCACTTTCATTGGACTCTTAGGGTGTATGTTGTTGTTATGTAATTCCTTGTCAGAATTAACTCAAACCTGACCCTCCAGTAGGTTTTCTTAGGGAGTGCATTCCACTGAATGAGATGGTCCATCTGTCTCTTGCAGAGCAGCTGGTAGTCTTGAAATGTGTGCCTTTGAATTGGCAACACAACTTCTTACCACCAAGCCACCAGAGCTCACAAAAAGTATGTTATTGGTGTTGTGTACTGTCAAGTCAGAACTAACCCATAGCTGATCCTTCAGTGGGTTTTCAGAGGCAGTTCGTTCGCATAGGCAGAGATTGCCCATCTTTCTCCCATGGAAAAACTGGTAGATTTGAACAGTGTTCCTTCAGGCTAGGCCACCAGAGCTTCCTATACTCAAACCAAAAAAGGTAACAAACTTACTGCCTTCAAGTCAGTTCCAACTTAGAGTAACCCTAAAGGTCAGAGTAGAATTGCCCTATAGAGAAACCACAACTGTAAATCCTTACAGAAACAGATTTCCACATCTTTTTCCCTATTACATAACTGGTAAGTTTAAACCATTGACATTTTAATTAGCAGAGTAACAGTTATTCTCTGCACTCCCAGACTGTATACTTAGCAGTAGCAATACTAGATCATGTGGCAGCTCCACTTCTAGTTTTCTGATAAATTACCAGACTTTCCCCCCCAAAATAGCTATATCATTTTGTATTACTATCAGCAGAGAATACCAGAAGAATGTCTATGTGTGTTTCATTGATTATGCAAAGGCATTTGACTGTGTGGATCATAACAAACTGTGGCTGACTCTGAGAAGAATGGGAATCCCAGAACATT